AAGAGATATGTCATTAAATGATTCATGCTATTTTACCTCTCACACTTGACACTTCATGCTATATCCTTTTGCATAAACTGGATGAAAGATAACTTTGAATTTGGCAGCTATATAGTAAAGATTCTAAATCCAAACATGGAAGGTTCTTTGGTTCTTGAATCACCTCTTGGAGGAGAGACAGTCAGTGTATTGAAACATTCTTTTTGGAACAGCCTTGAACAAGAAATACGTGTCTATCATGTTTAAGCTATTATACATTTTTGAGTTTATTTATTACATCATACAGAGAAATTTTTAAAGATGCTTCCATCTTCAGTGCGTAAGTTATTCATTCAGTTTTGAATAACCTATTCATGTAAGGTCCAAGTGAGCAAGGACCTTATTTGTCTTGCTCATCCTAGTATTCTCAGCCAATGGAACAGTGCTTTGAAGATAGTAGGTGTGCAATAAATGTTTATCTATTGGATAAATAAATATTGGTACTTTTGACAAGGCAATTCATTCAATCATGTGTTCAATAACTATTAATAAATAGTTAATGAATAAATAGTTTAAGACTAATACATAGTTAATAAATATATGCCTACTGTGAGTCAGACCTTCTGCTACATGGGGATACAGTTGCAATGAGACACGCATATTCATTGTTTGCAATGAAATTTAGAGTCTACTGAGAAGAAGTGATGGATTTAGAAAATAAAAATGCAATGAAACTATGGCAGAGGAAATTCTGATACTGTAGGAGAAGGAGTCTAAAAGAGGATGATGCCAAGGGGATGGAAAAACTTGGATACATTTGATTAAAGAATACAAAAATTTACCACTTCTTGTATGTTGGGGTTGGAGGAAAAGGGTAAGTCTAGGAGTAATTGAAAGCTCTTATTTGCAATGCTAAGTAGATTGTGGTGCCATTTGTAGGAGGGTAAATTGGAAGAGGAACAGCTTTGGGGAAGATGATGAGGTTAGCTTTGAGCATGATCAGTTTGAGGTGACTACAGATGTCCCATAGGGATAGGTCTGGTGGCTCACACTTGTCCTAGCTACTCAGAAGGCTGAGGTGGGAGGATCCCTTGAGGCCAGGAGTTTGAGACTAGCCTGGGTAATATATCAAGACCCCATCTCTAAAAACCAACAAAAAAATGTTCAATAATAGGCAGCTAAAGAGATATGTTGGGAACTCAGAAGAGTGGTTTGGGTTTGAGAATTTTATGTAGGGAAAAGCAGTCTATAGATGAAACTTAAAGCCATGGAAATAGATGAGACAGTTGAAAGAGAGTCTCTGAGTAAGGCTTAGAATCAAAACTCTGAGAAATCTTGATTGTCCTCTTGCCATTGAATTAACTTCATGGATCCATGGTTAATACCAAAGAAAGATGGGCTCCAAGGATGTACTTGCTCTGGAAACACCAATCATTACTGGTAAAGGAGGAGTCATTGCTGGAAAGCTTTGTGTACTATGATCCTTTCTAGAATGGGGTTCTGAGGAAAGATAAACTCATTAAAATAGTCACTTGGCAATCCTGAAGATTATTTCCCCAAATACACTGGGGATTTGTCACTGTCAATTCTTTTCATAACCTGGTGGATCATCCTTTTTAAGGTGTGACTATTCGGAAACAATGGGATTTGCTGATTGATGTCTTAAAATGAAACTCATTTCTTGAAATGGGCATGTTTCTTCATGGCTACACAACTTTCTACCACGTTATGAGTATTTTCAACATGAAGCTGTCCAGCTAACAGCTGCCTAAGGCAAAAAAGGGAAAAAAATATATAAAGAAAAGACTTTGCCACTGGGAACTCATCCTTTCAATGATTTATTTGACAAGCAAGTAGTTAAGCAATCCTCTTGTTTTCAGCTTACCATAGGGTATATAGCTGTAGCACCATGCCTGAGCTAAATGAATGAAATGACTCTGAGTACCATGTTTACAGATAAGGGATGTTTGGAGAACAGAGAAATTGTGCAACTCACAAAGACTTTTACTCTGCTTTCTGAAAAAGGTAGTTAATACAAATGTCTCCTTCATTTTAGAATCATAGGTATATGTGAAAATCAACATACTTAATTACAAAGATATAAAAAAATATTCAAAATATTTTAATAACTATCCATTAAGGTGTCTAGAATATTCCAGGTACTATGCTTCTCACTGAGATTAAAATAGTAAAAAAAAAAAAATTGACATAATGCCCAATACCCTCATGGAGCTGTATATCTGGCTTAGGATAAAAATATTAAACAAATAACCACAACAAAATTTTTTTAATTTAACTTTTATTTTTTATTTCACCATATTACAGTGGTACAAATCTTTAGGCTACATATATGGCTTTTGCACCACCCGAGTCAGAGTTTTAAGTGTGTCCAATGCCTGAAGGGTGTGCACCCTCCCATTAGGTGTGAATATACCCATCCCCTCCTCCCCACTCCCACCTGCCTGACATCGATGAATGTTACCCATGTACATGCACTTAAGTGTTGACCAGCTCATGACAGTTTTTTAAAAAAATTAAAACCTCCTCCAACTTATGATAGATGCTATGTTCAGAAGTAAATGGCCTTATTGATGCTGTGTATGGATGTTTCGAGAACACAAGCATTAGAGTCTCATCTCCCTCTTACCAGTCTTAAGGGATTGGGAAAGTCAGCTTTGAAGAGTGAAGATAATGATTGTAGTAAATTAAGTTTGATGTGATGATGAAATGAGAAGATACTGAATGCTGGCACACAGTAATTAACCCCCTGAAAGCTAGCAGCTATAGGAAGAGCAGGTGATCAAGGAATGTAAGCTGATCACTGTTGCTGAATGCTTCCATGGAGCAGAGATACCTGAATGGAAAGTAAATGTTAGGGATGAGCCTAGGAGAAGAGCACTCTGATAAGAGAAGACAAAGTGTGATGGTGGAAGTGCAGGAATGGAAATGAGGGAAGAGTGTAGATAGAGGACTTAGCACAAGGGTTAATGAGCTCTTTGTGGAAGTAAGTAGATAAGCAGGCCATGGAGACGAACTTTTGTTGGCTATGGTAAAGGCAAAGACATGAAAGCTATAGTTATGTTATAGGTGGGTGTGTGACAAATACTTCCTGCAAAATATCAAACTACAACAATAGTGGCTCCAAAATATTTTTGCAAGAGGGGCTTGGATGATCACCTGGTTGAAGAAAGTCAGTAGAGGTAAAGGAATTATTTTGAACTGTGTTTTCTTAGATTCTATTATTTGATTCATATTTATGTTAGCCAGGGTAGATTGAGAGCAGTCTGTGTTGAGTTCCTTCTGGGCTACGAGGAACAAGTCAGGCTAGGTAGTAAAGGGGCCACTTGGAATGAGGGACTCCTTTATGTTCTTCTTTTCAGGGACCTTCACAGCTATCACTGCTAACTTGCTGCTGCCCAACAGGCATTGCCCAACAGGCATTGCCAATGCCCAGAGCTGCTCATTGGCTCTAATAATTTCTCTGAAGGCAAGGAGACTCTCGTGCCACTGTAATCCTCACATAATTTACATGGACTGGGCAGGTTTTCACCATCTTGATTTGACTATTTATATATTTTGTATTCTTCATGGTGTTAAAGAAAAATTATTTGTGATCTCTGTAACATGAGTTATGATTCCCACTCCTTAGACTTCTTATCCTTCACTAGTATCATGATTCTGTGTCTCTGCAAATAAAGGTAGCAATAAAATCATTATACTTGCCAGCAAAATTTACTGCTTGCTAACTTATTGGCAAGCTTTGGCCTAACCCTTTACAAGCTGATTGAGATCTTTCAAGGACTCTGTGGAGATAGTGTTTTTAATTCCCTTTACATAATGAGGAAATTGTGCCTCAGAAAGGTTGAGATATTCTCTAAACGATTATAGAGCTTGTAACAGAAATGTCTAGACCTTAAACCTGTGAAAGCTGAGCATACTGCCAAACTACACTCCAAGTTTGATTCCCTCAAAGCAAGTATCTTCAAAGAAACATCAGATTACATATGAAAGGACCCCTGACCCCAGTCTCTGGTATCTCCAAGAAAACTTCCTGTCAGTGGCACATACCTCCTCTACAGAGAAAAACATTGAAAATCCTCACTCTCTGTATTTGGTTTCAACCTATAATGATTTTTTCCCAGAATTTATGACTGACAAATTTTTACAAAGGGAACCATATTAGGTTTTATTTTAGCTTCATAAAGATGTCATCAAAAGTGCACAAGCCTGAAAAGTCCAGTGAATGTTTTAGTCTTAGTTCCAGATATGCCATCTTTTGCTACAACATATGCTAGAAATTTTAAAAAGTGGTAAAAGCTAACAAATTAGAAACCTTCCTGAGGCTTCTAGAAGATCATGCACCATTATTTAATACTACATACACAAGAAAAAGACAATGTTAGTAGAAATAATTACCATTGCCCTCTTCTGAAGGGTACAAAGCCAGGGTGTGCCGTCATGCTCTATTGAGCCCACAGATTTTCATTCCTCAGGCAGCAAGCCATATCTTGTTGCCCCTTGACCATTTGGCCTTGAAGGGTTACATTTATTTCATGAACTTCATGAAATTCCCATTAGGGAGAAGCTTCATTCTGGCAATGGAATATCTGTCCATCTGTCCGTGGGTTTTCTCTATTGCATTCTCAGCAAGGAAGATTTGTTTATTATATTGGTAATTGTCATAGACCTGGCTCTGAGAAACTACATGACAGCATTAAAATGAAACAGTGGTGTTTATACTTCTGTAGGAGGACTTTATATTGTTGCCATCATAGCAAACTACAGATTTGGTAAAGGAAAAATGTGAGCTATATGTGTGCCTACAGGATTGCAAGAGAATTAAACAAACAGCAAAGGAAAAGGGGAGGGACTTTCTCAATTATATAACAATCATCATGGCCTTCATTGTTATGTGATTAGCCTTGGTTGGGATGAGAAATGGAAGGACAACAAACAAGCAATGTAACAAAATGAGAGACACTTGATGACATTAATCAGATTTGATGGAATCAATTTATTGTGTTCTTTTTTCTTTCTCTCTCTTTCTGAAGCACTGTTGGGATGTGTCCGTAGTCCACGGAAGAGCTCATGTACACACTGTGGAGAGAGCAAAGGGTTAGAGGAATGGGTCAGCTCAGATATCATCAGTTGAATTTGGCTCTTAGGAGGACTGGAAATAAAGTGGGATAAGTGGCAGAGAATGGCCTGCAGACTGGTGCCACCCAACTGTTAATAGAGCATCTTACACAAAAGAAAAGGCAGAGGAGTTGACTAGCACTTAGAAGCCATGTATAATTTAATGCAAATGTAATTATTTAGTGCCCATTTAATTTTATATACATATTCAATTTGTTCTCTGACAATTCCACCATCACTATATATTTGGAAAAGCACTTAATAGGGAGACAGGGTAAGAGCAGAGTGGTAGGCAACAAAGGAGCTTATGTCCTCTCTTCCAAAAAATACATGGGCTTTTCGGGCTCCAAGAAGAGGGATGTTGCACACTGCTCCCTAAGAACATCAGAAGATTCACAATGAAGACATCTAGATTCTTCAGATAAACTACAATAATAAGCCACTATTGACACAGAACTGGAGATGACCTTTTGTCAGGAGAGGGTATTGAGAGAAAAAGAGCAAGAGACACAGAGGAGTAGATAAGAGACATGCACTAGGACCACACATATAGGAATGGGGTCTGAGGCTGACATGACAGGAAGCCTCTTCTAAACTGACAGGATAAATGAAGATAACAGTCACTGAACTCAAGATACAGGGGACACCTGGACACTAGATTGAATGATCCAATCTTACCTAAGTGCAAAGGCAACTTGCATGCAAGTTCAGGGTCTTCTTCACAGAGATGCTTGATAAATTTTTGGGAAGCTCCGCATCCTTTCCCAATAACAAAGTCAATCAAGACTCGAGCCTTATCCATGACTGTGGAATTTTCATATCTCACTTTGTGCATCACCTCCTGGCTAATTACTCTATTCTGTAACAGATCGTCCCGCAAGGCATTTATTGTACCCTCGCCCACTGAATGGATAAACAAATTCCTCTTGTTCCACAGGATGTTTTCTATTGGAAACAAAAAGATTCCTCAAGTAATGAACATAGCAATTCCCCAGCAGAGAAGTAATCATTTTAATTTTTCCCAGCCAAACTTTCTTCTTCACAGGGTACCTTAGTCTCAAGAAATGATATCATACCTTTGGCTCTTAAGGTATCTACTTGACATAATTCTTTCTGATCCTAGCATTACCTACATGGGGTCACTGAATGACTTAGGACACTTGATTTCATGATTTATCTGTGAACCTCCTGAAAATCAGAATTGATTCTGCTGTAACACACCCCAATTTCTTGAACTCTGAAGGGGGTTGACAGGCTGTTTGTTCCCTTTGGAAACAATAGCTGCCAAGACCCATCCTGTGCCCATTCTCACCCTCAGCTGACTCATACCTCTTCAAATTCAGATAAGAATAGCAAAATAATAGCAGAAACCAAGAGAGTTCCAGGGTATCCCTGGCCTTATTTTTCCTTCAAAAGTGCAGCAAAAGGCTGGCTGAGCTTCTTCCATTCCTTTTTCTCTCCTTCCCTTTCCCCCTCCACCTCAAAGCTGCTCACATAAATCTTCACCAAGCCTAATGAGAAAGGCAATCCTTTCCCAAACTAATTCCTCCCCAAGACCTCTCTCCTTAGACTTGAAAAAGACTCACGGGCCATGGCTCCTCACGCTGGTGCTGGGTATACAAGTGAAACTGCAGGCAAGGTGGCCCTTTGTTTATAGCTGGTTTATAAACCAGCACACACAGGGTGTGTGCACAGATTGAAAAATAATGATTATTATCTACACATTTTATCATAAAGAAATATTAGTCACGACCATTCATCTCTACAACTCCCTTGTCTTGGTACGTTGAAACAATGTATCCATTAGACAATACTTTCTCATCTTTGCCTTCTACCAGACCCTGAAACCCAACGGATTCAACTTTCTGTCTCTATGAATTTGACTACTCTAGGTAACTCATATGAGTGGAATCATACTATGTTTGTCCTTTAGTGACTGAAGTATTTCACTTAGTATACTGTCCTCAAAGTTCATCTATGTTGTAGCATGGGCCACAATTCCTTTCTTTTGAAGGTTTCATAATATTCTATTTTATGTATGTATAACATTTTGTTTACACATTCATCTAACAATGAACATAGGTTACTCCCAACTTTTGGCTATTGTGAATAATGCTGCTATGAATGTGGGTGTACCAATATGGGCTTTGAGATTGTGCTCTCAATTATTTTGGATATATACCCAGAAATTGAATTGCCGGGTAATAGGATAATTTTATTTTTAATTTTGTGTGGAAGCACTATATTGTTTTCCCTAGCAGTTGCGTCATTTTACATTATCACATACAATGCACAAGAGTTCCAATTTCTTCACATCCTCACCAGTACTGGTTATTTTTTATTCTCTTGATAGTGGCCAGCCTAATGTATATGAGACAAACTAAGACTGTTTAACTCTTTTCCACTGTGCTTCACCCAAACTCGGGCCGTCTCGAAACACAGGGAAGGTATGTACTCCTGTGAAGTACTTTTGCATTTTGGAATGAAAATGGTTTTTATCTAAGTCTCTTTCTCTTTAGATGGCTTGATTTTTAAGAAAAGTGTGTCATAGTTTAAGGGCATAGACTCTGAGATCAGAATAGTTAACATTTTAACTGCTGATCTCATGCAAGGAACTTAACTATGCCTCAGTTTTGCCATCTGCCAAATAGGGTTGATGGTGATTTCTACCTTATAGTGTTATTGTTAGTAATTAATGAATCATACTAGTGTTTAACATATTAATCATATCTGGCACAAAGAAAGTACCTCAATAACTATTGTTGCATGTTTCTATGTAACAGCCCTAATTCATCTCATCAATTCATTCAACATAAACATTCAACAGAGTTATTTACTAAGGATCCACCCGGTGGCCAGATACTACTCTAGATGCTAGGGATAGGGGAATGACCAAAACAGACAAAATGCCTTGTCCTGTTAGAATTTAGATCATCGTGGGAGAGACACCTATACTCATTAAATGCATACAAAATTTTAAGAATTCTTTAGCAGTTAAACATATTCTCAGAAAATTTGAAAAATTATATTATTCACTAATATAATTGTATTAACTTGTACATGTGATAATATTAGGTAGATAGTTAGGATCTCTGGCTCTTTTCAGAACAAGGGTTCCCTGCTTTGGTGGTGTCTAGAGCACTTGCTCCCTCTGGGTAGAAAGATAAACTCGGACACTCCATTTTGGTGTTGCCCCACTCTCAATCCTATCTCAAGCAATTCCTATACCTGGTGAAGGAGGGCATGTTTATCAATTGGAAATTTCCAGCCCAGGCATGATAGGATTTAGAAAGTGACCTAGAGGAGCCCGAGAGTAATTATTATGCCATAGCTTCAACCAGCCAAACACCCTCCAAGCTGGGCATTCTTAAAGGGAGCTCCTATATATGCCAGTGGAATTTTGAGAATACCTGTTGATCATGTGATAACCTCCTAAACTTCTCCAGAGCCCATCTCTAGATTGAGCTAATAAAAGGAACCAATCTGAAAAGAGAGAGGGAAAGTCAGTGAGTGTGTATGTTTCTCTGATCATGGAGACAGATCAGTTTTGTCTACAACAAAGTGAAACTGCTTTCTGCCTAAGGTAAATCCTTTGCATTTGCCTTTCTGGTGGTTTTTCCATGGAGGAACCAGAGGACCAGGATAAAAGTCTGGACTTGACACTTTGGTGTGTCTGGTCAGTCTGTGGCCAAGAGCACACCAAGAATCTAAGGTAGACTGCCACCCCTGACGATGTAATTTGAGATATATTTAAAATCTGGGACAGATGCCACAGTTCAAATTCTCATGAACTTAGGAATACATAGAGGCCAAGAGATGTTGGGGTGAGGAGGTCTGTGCCTACCCTGTAGTAGTAGTTCTCTCTGAAGAAGCAAGGATCCTCAAATCCAGCAGTTTTTGCCAAAGAGAGTGAAGATCCAGTTTACTCTTTCATTTTGTGTGTAGTATTTCTTTCATTTAAAGCTATCTTCAGTGGGTTCACCATTGTTTTAAAATACTGAGCATATTAAGCAAAGCTTGTGTGTGGGTTACCTGGGACCTGCAGTCCACCTGTTTGCCTTCTGTGTTCTTGGCAAAACAAATTGAATTCATTTTCTTGGGAATAGCACCTTCTATCTTGGCAGTGTGTTGTAGGAAATTTTAGAGATCGTCGTAACCTATGAGCAGCTATCAGGAAACAATGGGATTTGCTGATTGATGTCTTATAATGAAACTCATTTCTTGAAATGGGTATGTCTCTTCGTGGCTGTACAACTGACTCCCGTGTTATGAGTATTTTCAATATGAAGCAGTCTAACTCAGAGCTGCCTAGGCTAAAGGGCAAAAAAGGGGGAAAATTATAAAGAAAAGGCTTAGTCACTGGGAACCCAGCTTTTCAAAGATTTATTACACAAGTAAATAGTTAAGCAATCTACTTGTTTTCACCTAACCATAGGGTATATACCTCCAGCACCGAGCCTGAGATCATAAATGAGTAAAATGACTCACAGAACAATGTTTAGAGATCAGGGATATTTAGACATCAGATATCAGAGAAATTGTGCAACTCACAAGGACTTTTACTCTGCTTACCCAAAAAGGCAGTTAATACAAATGTCTCCTTCATCTCAGAATCATAGATATTTATGAAAATCAACAAAATTAATTACAAAGATGTAAAAATTATTCAAAATATTTTAGTAAATAATTGGTAAGGTGTCTAGGACATTGGAGGTATTTTTCTTGTCACTGAGATTAAAATAGTAAAAAAATAAAATAAAATAACATAATGCCCAATACCCTCATGGAGCTATATATCTGTTTTAGGATAAAAATATTATACAAATAACCACAGCAAAATTTAATTTAATTTTATTTTTACTTTTTTATTTTATCATATTAGAGTGGCAAAAATGTTTAGGTTACATATATTGCCTTTGCTCCACCTGAGTCAGACCTTTAAGAGTGTACATCCCCCCACAGTGTGCACCCACCCATTAGGTGTGAATATAATCATCCCATCCTCTCCCCTCCCACCTGCCCAACACCACATGAATGTTTCTACTATATATGCATATTAGTTGTGATCAGTTAATAACAATTTTTTTTTAAATTAAGACCTCCTCCAACCTATGATAGATATTATGATCAGGAGGTAAATTGCCTTATTGATGCTGCGAATGGATGTTTTGAGAACACAGGCATTAGAGTCTCAGCTCCCTCTTATTAGTCTTAAGGGATTGGCAAAGTCAGCTCTGAAGCATGGAGATAATGATTGTAGTAACTTAGGGTGCTGTGATGATGAAATGAGAGGATACTGAATGCTGACACACAGTGAAGACCCCCCTGAAAACTACCAGCTATTGGAAGAGCAGGTTATCAAGGAATGTGAGCTGATCAGTGTCCCTGAATGCTTCCATGGAACAGAGATACCTGAATGGAATGTAAATGTTAGGGATGAGCAGGGGAGAAGAGCATTCTGATAAGAGAAGACAGAGTGTGATGGGGGAAGTGCAGGAATGGAAATGAGGGAAGAGTGTAGATAGAGGACTTAGCACAAGAGTTAGTGAGCTCTTTGAAGAGGCTAAGTAGATAAGCAGGCCATGCAGAGGAACTTTTGTTGGCCATATTAAAGGCCAACAAAAGGTAGCAATGAAATCATCATACTTGCTGGCAACATTTATTGCTTGCTAACTTATTGGCAAGCTTTGGGCTTAGCCCTTTACAAGCTGATTGAATTCTTTCAAGGCCTCTATGTGGATAGTGTTTTTAATTCCCTATTACATATGAGGAAATTGTGCCTCAGAAGGGTTAAGATATTCTCCAAACAATTACAGAGGTTGTAACAGACATTTCTAGACCTTGAATCTGTGAACAGTGAGCATACAGCCAAACTACCCTCCAGTTATGATTCCCTCAAAGCATGTTTGTTCAAGGAAAACATGTGATTACACATGAAAGGACCCTTGACCACCCGTGTCTGGTATCTCCAAGAAAACTTCCTGTCAGTGGCACATACCTCCTCTCTGGAGAAAAACATTGAAAATCCTCATTTACTGTATTTAGTGTCAACCTACAATAATTTTGTCCACAATTTATGACTGACAATTTTTTTAAAAGGGACCCAAATTAAGTTTTATTTTAGCTTTATAAAGATGTCATCAAAGTGAGCAATCTTGAAAAGTCCAGCAAAAGTTTTAGTCTTAGTTCCAGACACGCCATCCTTTGCTACAACATATGCTAGAAATTTTAAAAAGTGGTAAAAGCTAACAAATTAGAAATCCTCCTGAGGCTTCTAGAAGATCATACACCATTATTTAATACTACACACACAAGAAAAAGATAATGTAAGCAGAAATAATTACCATTATCCTGCTCTAAAGGGTACAAAGTCTGGGTGTGCCATCATGCTCTACTTTTTTTCCCAGTATATTGTGTGGGTACAAATGTTACGTTTATGTATTTTGCCCTTGCCCTCCACCCCCTCAATCAGAGCTTCTAGTGTGTCTATCCCCTAGTTGGTGTGCATCACATTCATTATGTATATATATACCCATCCCTCCCCCATCTGCCTGGCACCTGATAAATGTTATTCCTATATGTCCTCTTAGGTGTTGATCAGTTAATACCAATTTTCTGGTGA